AAAAGTAAGTCTCTAGCACTTCCCTCATGGAGATATAAGAAAAAAGGTCTGTCTCCACAAAAGAAGAAGCTAGAGACTTTCTTAAAAAGAAGAAGAAGAAGAAAGAAAGAAAGCTGGGAATTCAAAGAACCTGCTAAACAAGGATATATTGATATATTGAGATAAGGGATGTATTTTTAAAAGACAAAAATGAAACCATATTTTTTTGGGGGGAGTGGTTTATTATGACTATGGTCCAATCATCATAAAGTGGGATGGAAGTGGATGGGAGTGGGTGTTACAAAGAAAACCGATAGAAACATTACTCATGAGGAAAAAGGCAAGTCAAAATCAGCTTCCAGGAAAAGATTGGGTGGTCTAAAAAGTGAAAACCAGAGGAAAACCAAAAAACTGAAATGAAAACTAAGGGAGCAAAAATGAGTATGGAAATAAGGGGATAAACTGAAGCAATATGGGACCACAACCCCACCCACCAAAATGTGGAAAAGCCCACAGTCAGAAATGATTGTCCCATTAACTGAAAAAAATCTCAGAGCATAGTAACAAATCAATTGAGGCTGGGATAGAAAGAAACATTCTGCTGTGTGCTGCAGGGATGTTCTCAGTTCAGCGCTGTACAGAGTAATTCTGAACAGCAGTCCTGTTCAGAATTACTCCAGTCTAAGGCCATTCATCTTAGACAGGAGTAACTCTTCATAGCATGGTACTGTTAGTGTCTTTATTTATGATGGTTATACCGTATTCATATCAAACATGTGAAAATGTTTTGGAAATATTTTTATGGTGAGTTCAAAATAGGAAGGCTGATTCCTGCCTCTCCCTTCCCACTATAGCCTCATGCACTCCCCCCAAAACCAGCTCCTGGCTGTTAGGAAACCCTCAAGACCCTGGAGACTTCCGGTGGGTGAATCGGTGATGGCAGTCACTCTCCTCAAAGCTCGAGGAGGCGACTAGCACACCTTCGACTAAGAGGGGTGCCACTCCCATGGAACCCTTGCGGTGGCACTCCCACGGAACCCTTGCGGTGGGTTCCAAGACAGAGGGCTTTTGAGGGTTAGTCGTGGAATAGAGGCTTCCCTCCACCCTGATGGTACAGCCGTGGAATAGAGGCTTCCCTCCACCCTGATGGTACAGCTGATAGGTGACCTATGGGTGTAAGCCAATCTGACCGGGACAAGCGCAGGAGATCAAGCAGAATAGCGATGGAAGAGAGCGAGGTCAGAAGTGACCAACAGTGAACATGAGTGAGAGATAAACGGACTGTTTTTGTAAAGCGAAGCCCCACCCCCCGTGGAGAAAGCGGAGTGCAGGGAGGGACGCCTCCTGAGCTATTGAATAGATCAAAGAAACGAGGGGGGGGAGAGGGGAGAGAAACAGCGTCACATTTTGAGAGACTTACTTGAGCTTGGATAGAGAAATGGCGAGTCTTTCGAGCTCTGAAACAGAGGTGTTGAATTGTAAACAGAGAGAACATGGCGGTTCCATGA